CATTTCCGTTTGGAGTACAGTGCCCACTTCCCCACTGCTGAGCGTTTGATTGTTTGATCCTAAATAACTGCATACAGCTGTCCAGGGACAGTTTCCTAATGCAAACTATGTCATAGTCTTGAGAAATCTTTGAATTGATGAACCGAGAGGACCGCTGCATTCTCATTTGTCCTTTGTTAGTAGAAGCCAATAGAGGAAACGGAGACGAAGCCTAGCGGATCTCTTGCCTGGTTTCCGATAGGATATCCCTTGGGGCAACTGAGAGGGCGACTCTGATTGCATATGTCTGGTTACCACGATCGTTGGCTGATCCTTAAGATTTTTACTCCAGATGTGGCGCTTCTCTCCACTGCTGCGTGTGGCTCCACTGCAAAATTTTTTGACTGGTTACGGGATGACATAATCGCACTTGCAATGTCTTTCTATCGCCAATAAGGGATCCGTGGACTGCTAGTGAAGTATTGGTGCCAACTTACTGTCTCTCGATTGTGTGTGCGAGGACGTCATTTCCGCCCATGTATGCTGGTATTCGGGAGTTGTGATCCGCCACGAGATTCGGCTCGGCCTTGAGCAGATTGCTCGCTCGGGCCGACACAATCCTCACGAGTCACGGCACTGGTGCGCTTTTCACAAGATGATATGGACATGACCCTTGCCAGCAATTACAATTGCATTCTGAGACCAGTAGACTGAAAATGCTCATATTGATCAGCGTCTCACGTTGTATGCTGTGTTAAAGAAACACGGAGGCATTAATGTTTTGTCGGCTATAGTTCCGAGCTTTCTCCAGCCTCCCGCGGCGCCAACATGCACGCTTTGCAGTTTTCAGACTGGTGTCTGCGGATCTCACCGCAGCCCAGGTCTCTGATTTGTACGTTCCGAGGCGATGACGGCATTGTACAAAACATTGACTAAGTAGTGCCGTTCCCCGAGCAGCTTATGAATGTTTCTTCATGCATCTCGATACGAGTGGTCAATACCTGCGGACTCACTCCTAGATGGCTTCCCTCCAATTACGCTGAGCAAGATACCGACTTCCTGACTCCATAGTGCTCGCTGTTATTCTGGCATTGCTTGTCTTCAGCTCCAAGGTGGACCTTGTGGTGAATTGATCCCATGGCTTGTAATCTCGTGACAGAATACCTAGACAGGGGAGGTTACGGAATCTCCCCGCAGGCTAGCAGACTAACACAGCAGGCAACGATCCATGCCAAGGCAGGCAATAGTTACCTTGACTAAGGCAAAGCCTACAGCGAAGTCTGCAGATCTCAGATCTTAGAGACTTCGCGTTCGCAGACTGTTCGACCAGCTTTACCATGTTCGACTGAAACAGTTGTAGGCTGTGACCACAGAGCAGGAAGAATGCCATCGACTCTGCTCTAGAAACAGCAGGGCGGCGCATGCAAGGATTCATTATTCTTGCACAACAATATCGTATGAAACGTAGTCACGTCAAACAATAGCATCCCGGGTACTCCCGAGAATACGGAGATGCCTGTTTCATTCGTGGTTGCAGCTGCTCGTTGTGGGATGAACTGGGACAACATTACTATTTTGGGATAGTGCTCCCCGAACGGAGACGGGGCCGCTAATCGCTATATGGCCATGTTTCCCTGTAACGAAAGACAAAATTGTTTGAACAGGAGGGTCTTCGACGACTGGGCTTTTCTGGGACAGTGTGCTGAGGAGAGAATCTCCATTTGGTGAGATCGAGGATGTAAGGAGTGCGGCAGGTCCCAGCCCCTCATCAGTGGCCTGATCAGTCACGTCGGTCAACTTTCATAAAGTAACTTACTTTTTTCTTGGCTAAACGGAAACTATAGAAAAAGACGGTATCGGTGTCCAAGAGGCCAACACGCGTGGAGGCTACTGAGCAGGATTGGTCGACAAACGAGAGGAGGTTGATGACCCTAAGGACAGCAGCACAGTATACCAAAATCTTTCATGCTGGACAAGGATCTGCCAGCATAGAGCCAGTGCGAAGCGTTACAGCAGCGTTTGGGGCTGAAACCCTCCAGACCTTGGTCTGACTTTATGAGCGCAACGCGAAACGAAGAAAGATTCAAACGCTGTGTCAGGGCTTGGCTGATATAAATAGGATGTAGTGATCATGGGGCTTTAGGGGGAAGGACTTGACCGGAGTTGCGAGCCCAAGGATTTGTAAACAGCGAAGCATATTTAAATCATGGAGAAGGGTACGATCAGTATAGTGAAACAGCTTGTGGCAAGACATCTTATGGTAACATGCCACCAGCGGGAAGTGGCAAGAATAAATATAGCTGCATCATAGCATATCGAGGAAAGGGTAAAGCACACTGCTCATCCACTGCTATGGGGGGATAAGATTTCACTGACTCAGACCCAGATCAGGATTGACTCGAGTGCTTGTCTATATCAAGCTTCGTCAGCGAGATGGAGGCTGTTTTGTGTATATCAAGATATGGTGCAATTGGTCCACCGTTCGCGATGTGGCTTTCTGGAATAACTGAGACATGCATCGCGATCGATGAGATCCAAAGGCGACATCGATTTTGAACTTCCTGGAAGCCGAGCACTATGGAGACGTATAGCAGAATCAACAATAATAACTTATGTCTCCTTCCATACAAGAGAGCCCGCCAACTGGGCAAGCGCCCCATCAATCCGCACTGATGTCACTGTGTTTCAGACTTGAGTCTAACAAACTCTCAGAAGCCAGAGCAAAATAGACGCAAGGAAATCAGGAAAAAAAGGGAGATGAGCGCAAATATGAAACCGCTAAAAACCGCCGCCAAGCATCAATCTGCATGAACAATATCCAATCACCAGTCATATTCTCTGTTGCCTCCCACTAGTCAGGAACAGGGGAATCATCTTACGATCTGCGCCACGAGTACCTGGAGTTGTTCCTTTGCTACTTTGGCATGGGACATGATGATCAGAGCATCTACAGATCAAGAAATTAATGGCTCCATCAACGTTGAGAATCTGATCCTCAAATGGCGGGTAGTATCAACGATCTTCAGGGGCATGCAAGTCTGCAACTTCAACAAACAAGAATTCTGAATTCTGAATCATGAATCATGAAGAACAGCACACACTATTTAATCAAGGTGGAGATCGCTTAAGACGCCGTCGGGGGCGCAGCGCCTCTAGTGTCTATTAATCTACTCGGTAGCGTGTTGATTATCTCACTAAGAGAGCATCTGCTGGTGTCTTGAAACGCCTACCAATAACGCCGCATGTGTATCAGTTTTGAATCATCCTCCTAATTTTATTCTGTTTGATCATCTCGAGTTTATCAGTCAAATTTCTTTGATAAAGACCCGCTGAACACGATCTTCACATCAATTTTAACGCTCAGAAATAGTTTTCCAGCCAACCCAACCCCCTCCCCGAGCCCCTCGATCCCGTTTCCCAAACCCCCGCGGCTCGATAGCGCCCCATTGTTGGGAACGCGTCGGCGATAGTCTGCGTCGTCGGTTATTGGTATTGTTGAGCAGCTTGGAGTCTTGGTCAGTGGATGTCATGATACGGCGTCTTCCTATCATATCGTGGGCTTGACTCTGGTGTGGGTGATTGTCGCTCTGGTCAAACACCAAAGGCCTATTGGGCTCCTAGCAGTCCCAGGCCAAGCACGACCACGTATTGTCTTCAAACTTTTTGCTCAAGGAGAAGACAAGAAAGAAGGGGGTGATTTGAGAAGAATAATAATAGTAGTATAGAGTGCACACGGGACAGGTGAAAGGTTTCCTGGTAAAAGGTCTTCGCGTAATGATCTGGCGATGCCGCTCATTAATATCTGGAGATTGGATTTGGATATCGCCAGCGACTACAAATTATTACTGCTACCGCTAAAAAAGCTCAGACCCAAGACTCACAATCGTTTCCATAGAGCTAATTGAATTAGGCTCTTAGACAGTTCATTTGAACTCCAGACGTCTTCTCCTTTATTCGTAGTTGGCTTTATTTAACAGAAAGGATGCTACATACTTCATAGACCCTGGTTTCATTTCCCTTCTTCTGCGTCTTCTTCTACCTTGACCTGCGACCATCCCTTGTGCTCCCCCTTCGCTCATTATTTTATTCATTCATTCTTAGACGCTCTGGTCGTCTTTTCCACTCTTTTGACTACTTCTCTTCGGATTTCAGTCCTTCTCTATCGCAGCGTTGCTTCTCCCACTTCCCATCGTTCGTTTCACACGCCTCTGGTGAGCGGCTGGTCTGAGAGCACAACTGAGCTTTTCGGAATTTTAAACCAAGCAACTCTCTCCATAAAGGGCTTTTGAAAGGTCCTACATTCCAGTCTCATTCGTCCACATTACATCGAATCGACTATCCGGTTTTCCGTCCGTCAAGAATTCAATCCAACAAACACAAGTCCAATAAGAACACCCCCTCGACAGAAGGGTATGTACCTTTTTCCATTTGCTCTACCTTCCTTGTCCCCTTTCTTTCAAGCTGGCCAATGCTCTTTGATCATGCTTTCTCTTTCTCTATACTGTCCTGGTACGCCTCGTGGGGCTGTGATGGAGCGAAGAATGTGACGGTCCACCCTCGCTGCAAGGGACATTCCACTTCCAGAGATGAACCACTTGGGTTGAAACGATTTTCAAGCTCTTCCCTTGTACCGTGGGGCTTGTTCCTGACTGGATCTTGGTCAGTGCGCTGTGCCTTGAATGTGCAATGTGCAAGTTATGCCATTGTTATTGTTATTGTTGTTGTTGACGTTGATGTCTGGCCTTGGACTGCCTGGTATTTACTATCTCCAGCCAGCTGCTGCGCGTAGTCGGATATACTACCTGCACCTCATGTACCCCCGACTTCCACGGCATCAACAACGCGAACGGTCTCTTTTTGGGCCTTTCACTCCTTTCTTCCGCTCTTTTGCTTGAATTTCTGTGTCTGGCTCATACTCACTGCTCCTGGTGACGCTTCTAGCCGACCATTTCGCTCATTACAATACGACGTCAGATCCGCTCATTTACAATTGAAACCACAGTCTAGAAACGACGACTATTATGGCTCGAATGATGAGGCTGCATGTCGGCCTCGTGACCGGTTTACTGGCCTTGTCCGGTCTCACTGACGCCTTCTGGCGTCTTCCCTGCCGTGGACGGACTGGTCTTGCCAGAATTGACCCTCTCATGGATCCTGGCAAGCCTTCGTCCCACGTGCATGCAGTTCATGGTTCTGGCGGTTAGTGGGATGGTCTTTATACGCGCTCGATTTTGTACTATGCTCATATTTGATAGGCTTTTCTATGTCGGCTAGCGGGGCTGACCTGAAAGCGTCCAGCTGTACCTCGTGCGCCGTCACTCAGGACAAGTCCGCGTACTGGATTCCAGCGCTCTACTTTATGCATGAGAATGGCGATGCTGAAATCGTCAATCAGGTTGGAGGCATGCTCGCGTAAGTGTAGTCTCCAAGTTAAAACGCAGGCACTAGCTGACGATGCGCCGACAACAGTTATTACCTGCTTTACGGAGAGAACGTGACCGCGTTCCCGGACAACTTCCGCATGATTGCTGGCGACACATACCTGCGCGACTTTCCCTGGCCGATCCCTGACCCTCCCAAGTCGGAATGGACAGGCAAGCAAGCATCGCAGGAGGCTCTTCGGCAGAAGGCGATCGGTTTCAACTGTCTGAACTACGCTCTAGATCCCGAACCTTCGCTTGGCCGCCATTTCCTTCCCAACAAGACGTATCTGGACGAACACTGCACCGACGGTGTCCGGTTCGAGTTGATGTTCCCTTCGTGCTGGAACGGCAAGGATGTCGACTCGGATGATCACAAGTCACACGTGGCCTATCCCTCGCTGGTTATGGACGGGACATGTCCCGAGGGCTTCGAGACACGTCTCGTTTCTCTCTTCTACGAGAGCATCTGGGATACATATGCGTTCAAGGACAAGGAAGGCTACTTCGTTATCGCCAACGGCGACCCTACAGGATACGGTTATCATGGCGATTTCATGCAGGGCTGGGAATCGGGGGTCCTGCAGCAGGCAGTGGAGCAGTGCACCAATCCTTCGGGTGAGGTTGAGGACTGTGCTGTTTTCAATATTCAAAGCGAGGACCAGCAACAACAGTGCACATTCGATATGCCCCCCGCCTTGAAGCACGAAAAGGTGACCTTGACTAGCGGCGGTCTTCCCAACCACCTCGCAGTCCAGTGGGGGCCCGCCTATGCCAGCGATGTTTCCGCTTCCGTCAGCTCCGTGGTGTCCAGCGCGCTCAGTGCAGCCACTCACGCGGTTGCCTCGGCCTCTGCGGAATTGTCGCTCCATGTCAGCGCATTTGGGAACAATCTGCAAATCAGCAAGCCGACCTCGACCTGGACACCGACTCCAACCACGTCCTATGTTGAGAGTGCCGTCACTCAAGCGGTTGTGTATGTCGAGCAGGAGATTATCGTCTGGGTTGACGGCCAGAAAAACATCCTTGGGACCGGTACTGGTAGCCTAGAGACGTTGTCAACCACCACACGCACCACCACCCGTGTCGTCTCGACTGTTGTCACTGTTCCCACGGACACACCAGTGAAGAGAGAAGAGCATGTTCACCACGTCCACAAGCGTCATGGCCACGGCCACCTTCACCAAAGGAGCTAGGCGCCTTCTATCTTCTACTTAGGATACCCTGTTCTTGTTGCCTGATGTTTCAGCTCTGCAAGAACATCTGACTCAAGTCCGTATTGGGCTGTCTTGGGATGCTGACTAACGTCAGATTATGTTTCTCGCGTCTTGATTTTCAGGATATCCCCCTTTTTTTTTTTTTATCAAACTTCCTGTTGTCAATTTTCTTCACTTTTTCTGTACATTTTGCAACCTACCGCTTTGTCCCTGAGGGAGGAGGCTGGACAGCGTCATGTTCATTCGCTCGATGAGCTGATAAGTCCTGTTGGATATATGAATTGAATCAAGACTGGAGAAATCCGGTATTTCCCTTCGGCCTGGGGGCCTTTTAAAAATAGTACTATTATGGTTTTCTTACTGGATCATTTGAGCATCATGACAAGCTGACTGTAGTGAGACACCCGGCCACCCCGTCACCCAACCACAAACCTGTGTTGGGCAGTCTTGGCCGTCGATCAATCCTGCAACACCAACGCTCCAATCAACGCGTCGAACGTGTGTGGCTTCGACAGCCTGCTTCAACTGCCGTCACAGCCCTGGCACTGCATGTCTAAGACATTTTTTGCCTTGCTAAGCTCGTAAGGATGTACTCGTCCTCTCAGCCCTGAGCGACTGAGCCGAATATAGCTCGGTACTACTCTGCGTTACTACTCTTAGACTCTACCCTAGTACCTTCAACGAAAACAAAAACAACCTATATATAAAAGACAACATCCCCTCATAATCACTCCCTCACAATCACACCAAACCACTCGTTAATCCAGTAAAGAAACCCAAACACCACCAAAATGACCACAACCATCCTCTCCCTCCTCTTCGCAGCCGCAGCAGCTGTCTCGGCCTCAACCCTCCCATCCCCAACCCCAACCCAAACACCAACAACCCTAGCAACAACAACAGCAGCCCCCATGACCACACCCGCAGCCTCAACCCCAACCTGCGGCCCCGGCTCCACCCTCATCCACACAACAGACTGCACAATGGGCACCCCCGTCTCCTACTGCTACAGCGCGCCGCCCCCGATCTCCTGCTCCGCGGGCTTCTTCCCAGGTGTCTACCACCCAGGACACTGCATCGAGGCCTCGACGTGCTACCCCGTGGACGCGAGCTGGATTACAACCAAGTGCTCGAATGGCGGGATCCCGTGGTCGACGTCGACGCTGTATGAGGGTGTGCTTGCCGGTGAGACGACTAGCACGACGATTAGTAGTGAGTTGTCCCTACGCAACCCCTGACTCCTCTTGCGGGTCCAGGATGACGAAGAGGGAAGGCTAATGGTGAATGATAGTTGTGTCATGCTCCTGCGCCAGAGATCAATGGTACAGTATGACCTTGCTGCCTGGGCATTCGACTGTGGATACCTTCTGCATGCCGTCGAGTAACTGTCCTGCTGGGATGAGCACTGCGACCTCCACCAACGAGTATTGCGTTACTTCGCCGGCGGCGTGTGCGAGCGAGGGGATCCCTACGACGACGGCGAGCTGCCAGTGTGAGCAGCCGGGTCAGACTGCGGTTTATCCGACCGAGGTGGGAGCTGCTGCGACAGGTTGTGCTTGAAAAAGTAAACTACGGAGTAAATGGATAGATGTATGACGAAAATATTGCTACTAGACTGTTTGAGAAGGATGCGGGGATAGACCGAAATCAACTGAGATACAAACGCGGGACAAAGAATTTATGATCTTGTCAACGAATATCAGCCGAACAGAACCTAATATCCAATCATTTCATCATGATCTAATCATTTGGACCATCTAACCGAGTCTTTGTCGTCGAATCATAACCAAGGTACGATATATAAGGGTATCTATCACATCTAAGCCTTCGGGGGCGCTGGTGGGAGCCACGACCCGTCTTCAAGCCAAACCCCTGCTGGTCCGTACTTGCCCGCTTCAGCTCCTCGAAGGAAGGCGAAGCGGAAGAAGAGATCCTCGGGTTTGTCGTCATCCTTCACATCGGTGACAGCGACGCCGGCGTCCGGGTCACTTTCAATGGTAGGACCGTGGAACAGTTCGAGGCCGTTATGTCCATGTCGGTGCCAGGTGAATTCTCCGCGCTTATCCTCGTCCAAGTACCCTCGCCAGCGTTCCACGTCATTGACCAGAACACTGATTCCATCGACATCAAGCTGAGCCATGCGTCCTCTCTCCCATAGCTCGAAAGTAATATTACCATTGCCACGATACTCATGGGAGCCCGCATCAGGAAGCGAAATCATGACAGACGCATCGGTGATGTTGGGGTATGTTGCCCCCCACCAACCCTTGGCTCCGTCAAACCCCGGTAGTTCTCCTAAGGCTGCCGGTGTCTCAATTATGGATGCGAAGCCCCAGCGCGCCACACCGTTGATGAATAGCCCGAGTAGCAGTCCTTGATAGATCAACGACGGTCGCGTGGGAATTCCCGTTCCCGGCATCAGCAGGATGGCAAGAATGTAATGGTGAATCCGAAGGCGAAGCCCTGGTAGTGGAAGCAAAATCAAAAGAATGAGACCCATGGTGCAGTACACCTTGAGATAATGCGGCATCGAGCCACCCTGGCGGATTTGCCAGGCTTGGCTGAGGATAACTATGACAACGGTCGGAATCACCAGAGCCAACGCCAATTTCGCTCCCGGCTGCCGCTGAATATCGTGAGGGGTCAGACGTTCTAGCGGAATCAGTCTCGCAAAAGTGTAATTGTTCAAGGCGCCGATGAACGCGGGCGGCAGGTATAAGAACGCCTTGGTCAACTGGAACTTGGGCTGCGAAAGCGGCGTCAGGAGAGGACGCGCGCAATACTTGTACAGCACGTAGACTACGAACGATGCCGGTAATAATCGCGCAAGTAGAGTGGACACAAGGTCAGTGAACTGGGGCATTGAGGGCGGATCAGACACCAATCCCACTTGACAAAAGAGCATGGAAAAGGTGCTGAAGAACAGGACCGGCGGCGACGTGGAGAAGAGCCACAGAAGTGCGAGGGCGGCAATGGTTATGCCCAGAAGAGTCCATCTCGGATCAGGAGGGCAAGTAGCTTGGGACGAAGCCAGGTCGACGAAGCTGAAGGCCTTTGGGAAAGTCGACGAAAAGCCCACGGACTGAATCCCATTCTGTTTCGAAGCGGGGAATGAGTGTGCCGCTCCCTCTAGCTTCACAACACCGCAGCCGCCAACTGCGTTCGTGATGAACCCAGCATGGATAGCGGCCTGGCACACGAAACTGTCGGCTCGGTACACACCGGGCTCGGACGAATCTGGTTGTGGTCCTCCGACGACTAGTCCTCGGTAGCTGTAAGTCTGGTTGCCAACGGTGTGAGGTTGCAACAATTTGACATCGTGACAGTTTGCCGGGCAACGGAAAGCAATGGTTGAGGCAGAAAAGGGACGGCAGTCGTTCCCGTTGAGACCGCATCCATTTCCATACTCCCTGATAGGTTGTCAGAACAGGCTCTTAAACACAAATCAAGCAAGGAAGCCTTACCAAAGAGTCGTCGAACACGAAAGGGTTTGCGGTCGTCCATATCCCTCGATGTAGCCAGCCGAACGAGAGTGAAGCAGAACAAGGGTCCAAGGAGTAAACCAAGCAATGTATAGGAGTACAAGTAAAGAGATCTTGTGTTTCCGCTTAGGGAACAATCGGTTCAGGCACCGGACCGGAAGCTCTTGGATTTGTGGAAATAGCGGTTTGAGCAGCAGCGAATGTGGAGGATTCGGACCCTTCACCCAATTCGCAGTAGCGCGTCCAACTTTTCGAATAGGCAGAGGTACCCAGCCCCAGCGAAATGACTTGGAGGATTCCCGTAACCAGACGGGGACATAACTGGGGCCGGCCTCTTCATCTCGAGGGAGCAAACAGTCGTCGGAAGTATCGGGATCGGTCGCACGATTCTCAGAGTCGAGAACTGGTGTGATATAGACTCGAGAACCGTCCTCCGGACCTTCACCAATCATTGTGAGATGGCTCTATAACACAAATATCAAGCCAGCGACAGATATCAAGACTGGGAGACGGCGGAAAGACAAGGCTAATCGATCTAAGCCGATAAGATGGCCGGAGTGGGGTCAATAGGACTAGTAGTAGAATGAATGAATTTCACAGCCAGTGAAAGAACACCACTCATTCTCTTGTGGAATAGAAAGGCATGTCCTCCAACGTTACAGATGATAATGAGGGTATATTGGGTTATTCCAAAGGATAGAACGATAGAAAGGTGAGAGTTGGACAAGATGGGGATGTCATTGTTCGACTGAAGATCGACAGCAACCTTAGTCATCAGCTGTCACCTGCCTTGAGATGGGCCTATCACACTGGATTATCTAAGCTCGTGGCGCGAAGACATTTCCATGGAGGTGGCAAAGAGAGATATTCGGATAGGATCAGGATGAAGTAGTAGGCTAATAGCATTTACTAGCATTCGCTGCTGAAGAAGAATAAAGTAGCTCTCTACTCCGTACAGGAGGACCACTGATAGGACTATAGTTAAACAGATCGGCTTATGCAAACAGGTTGAGTGGTACTGTGACTATCAACATATGAAAATGTGGAGCTTTGAATTTCCCCAGATCTGCGTCATTCTTAGCACAATGCAGTTGTAATATAACTGCAGACCATTGCCGCACATCAACACTGGTTAGATATGCCAAGTAGACCCTAACATCTACTCCGTAGTGGTTGATATAATGCTGTCAGGCTTGTTTGACCGTTATCACCCCACGTTCTTACGGGGATTTACCATTGCGCAATTCGACAACGGTCATCATATCTGACTTTGGGACGACTGTTCATTCAGATTGAGCGTTGAGTGTGGACATTCTTTCGACTGAACCTATTTTATGCTCCTCTGGCTAATAATTACTGGATTAGCAATCGTCCACGAGTCATTCATAGAATACTCCGTAGGATTTGCCGAGGCCAAGAGGCAGGGGGGCCAGCAACGGCGCCCCCGGATGGCCCACTATCTAACCGTTGAAGCTGCTTATCAATCATGACATTTCTGATGATCCTCCCGTGGTTGACTAGTAGGAGATAACGGGCAGGATCCATGGTTCCTTTATAAGGCTGCCCTGATTCTTCTTATCCCCTGGCTGACATGGCGCTTGTCCTTCTTTCCCCCCATCCACCATTTCCTCTTTCAAATTGCTGTGAAAGGGCTTAATTTGCTCACGATGGCTCGGTTGAAGCAAATGGAGCTCTCTGCTCCGTTGGACTTGTCGCATCACTTCTCCTCTACTACCGTTCGGCGTGAGTCGAGTAATCTCAAGAGATTATACAAGTACTATGTGATCCCAGGCATGGGAAACCTCTCTGGCGGTATGCAGGGCGAGCTTTTTCTAATAGTATCGTTTAATCAATGCATTTGACTCATTTCCTCCAGGCATGCCTCACGCTTCGTATTTCCCGTATGACACACTAGAAGCTGCCGTTGCGCATCCTCAGCGTTTCGACCCTAACCCGGACAATGGCAAATCGGCGCCGGAGAAGGATACAGAATCACCAACCCGCGTAGTTGTCCCCAAAGAGAGCAAAACGGTCGATTTGGAAAAGAAAATCGACATCACCACTGCCCTGCAGTACGGCACGGCTCAGGGATTGCCTCCTATGGCATCATTCGTTCGGAATTTCACAAGGGAGCATCTTCACCCCAATGTGCCGTATGCGGGAGGTCCAGAAACTCTGCTCAGCTGCGGTGCGACCGACGGATTCAACAAAGTTATTGAAACTTTCACAAACACCTGGAATCCAGATAGGGACCCGATTCAACAGCGCGAGGGCATCCTCTGCGAGGAGTTTGTTTACATGAATGCCATACAAACAGCTCGGCCTCGTGGCCTCAACATAGCCGCGGTCACTATGGATGCCCAAGGTATACTGGCATACGGCAAAGGTGGTCTGGCCGATGTTCTCGTAAACTGGGATTACCGCAAAGGACGTCGTCCTCATTTGTTGTATACCATCACGTAAGTTCAACAGTCAAGGTCGTTATTGGCTGTCGCAATACTTGGTGCACGTCATGCAGCTAACGATCCCGCCCTTTCTCGCGCGGCTGCAGGATTGGTCAAAATCCCACGGGAGGCACAATGTCAATCCATCGGAGGAAAGAGATCTACGGCCTATGCCAGCGGTACGACATTATCATTGTCGAGGACGATCCGTATTGGAATTTGCAGTATCCATCTGCCCAAAGAATGGCGGCTCGTTACCGTAACACACCCATTGACGAGTCACTTACCACGCAAAATTATAATGCTCATGGAAAATCGTCCGGATACCCGTTTTTGGACTCTCTTGTACCATCGTTTATGTCTCTAGACACAGATGGACGAGTCATCCGATTGGACACATTTTCGAAGACCATTGCGCCAGGTTGCCGCTTGGGTTGGATTACTGCACAGCCTGCCGTCATCGAGAGGATCACCCGTCTTACTGAGACTTCGACACAATTCCCATCCGGTTTTGTCCAGGCCATGGTGGCGGGGATGATCCTAGGTCAACAATATGATGAAGATGTCAAAGGTCCCAAAAGCAAAAGTAGATCAGGCTGGAAGATGGATGGCTGGGTTCGCTGGCTTGAGGGTC